AATGTAATGCAAACTGAGACTCTCATAACTAAAAAAATATTTGAGCCCTCTTTATTGTCCTGGTACAAATTAATGTTTTTTCTTTGTTCAACGAGCAGTTCATGGGTCTTAATTTCGATCTCTCAGAGAGGATGCGATTGATGCATTATAACCTTAAAATGTCCAAAATTTTCTTGCGGGGGAGCATGCCCCCGAACCCCCCTAGAGGCACAGAGTCCACCCAACTAGTTTTAGAAAGTACTATGGGAAAGAACAACCATTTATGAACTTTACTCCAGCATACTAGTACAACAAAGTTCCCTTTAAATCGGTAATCGTGCCGGCGACGAGGGCCGGTGGTCTACGAAATTTCCCGGTAAATTTTTTGGTCCCACTCCGGGTAGGAAGCATCGTAGGGAGTTCAAACTGAATCTCAGACTCGAGTGAGGCTCGCTCATGAGGCGTAAAAAAAAAAAATTGTTTGTTTCCGGTTTCCGACCGACCCTGTCAATTTATGTGCGACCCAAAATTATTTTATGAGCTTGGGGAAGAAATAATAAAAATTAAATAAATACACAAATAAAAAACTCTGAGGCGAACTATTAATTTACGTTTTTGTACAGCTCCGTCTTTTTATAGCACGCGATGTAAGATGCATCTTGTCCTCCAGCAATCTATTAACAAACGAGGCAGATATCGTTCGTCAAACTGAACTATATCTATAATACATATTATAGAAGTCTTTTTTGTAATTTAGGATATTTTTATTCATATTCGCACACATACAAATACATGCATTCATAGGCATGCACACACCACATACTAATACCTCCATCCGCCTAGTTTTATTAAAAAATCATCCTATCATGATCCAATCATGATCCCAATCCCATCTTCTGCTGTCTAGCACTTCTTTCGCCATGTATTTGTTAGTTTCTTTCATTATTTTATGCAATCCAAAACACTCTAACCTGCCGCGGTTCGTATCTCTAGAGCCCGTCTAACTTGTCCGCTTTTCCGGGACAAATGGATTTTTGAAGGACAAGTAAAAGATAATTTTACTCGCCCCAACGGACAAGTAGCCTGATTAGAACATCAATAACAAACAAAAAAATAACTAGGGAATCACTAAACCGAGAGAATGATTCTGATTTTATTACATTTATTGCAAGTTGCGATCGATTGTGGATAATAAATGTAGCAGGCCTACTGTATTACTGATGGTAAGGTTGCGCTGTTGACGCTCGCGCAGAGAAATCTACACACATGAGCGGAGCACACACACACAGTTAACAACATACTCTGCCTATAAAAAATCTAAATGTGGAGTTTTTATATTTTAACATATGTTAAGCACTAAGCAGCCTCAATTATTTTTCCTGAATACCATCACGATTGAAAAAGTGACATTGATTTCCTACAGTTCAATAAACAGTTAAGATTAAGTCACTTACTGTTTATAAGCAATATTGGGTGTTTTTGTTCCATTTCAGCAGCGAAAATAGTTCCAAAGAAAAGTCACAGAACCACGACGCATCTCACAGGAACTCATCCTGTTTTCATTACTGGATGATTCAGCATTTTGAACGAATCGGTTGAGTCAAGGATTCAATGACCCATTCATAAACGTCAACATCCGTCTCATTCGTGAATGAATCAACCGTTTGAACGAATCGTTTGAATTAATGAATCAATAACTCACTCATTTATACGGCCGCCTGCCGCCACCTATTGGCAGTTTAGTGTTATGTTTATAAGTAGCCTAGTATAATTCTTTCCAATATTTCTTATTTGCACATTTAAATCAATTTCATAACATTATTTTATGAAATTGTAATTTTTCAGTGTAAATTATTTAATTTTATCAGCCCTACCTAGGGTAACAGTATGCTTCATCTTTCATTTTAAATTCCTAAATTTGATCAATAAATTCAATTATTTAGAATAATAAGACACTATAGGGCATTTAATAATATTGGTGGAGGGGATGCCCTGAAAGGTGCAGATATTACAATTTGCCTTTTTTAAATATCAAAGCTGATTGAACACTGATGAGAATATTGCTTCAGAATAAAAAATAAATAAATTTAAAAAATCCGGACAAGCAACTTTTTTACTCGGACAAATTTACTTACTTGTCCGGAGGACAAGCACGTGAAAAGGCTTAAGGGGATAGTTCACTTTGAAATTAATTTTTGATATGTTTTAGCTTAACTCAAGGGCATCCAAGATGTAGTTGTCTTTGTTTCCACAGTAGTTTCAATTTTGATATTTTTAGGTTTGACTATCCCTTTAATGTCGAGCCCTGAATAATTTCCTACCCATCCCTTGCTGCCACTGAAAAAAAAAAAAAAAAAAATCCCTACCGACCCATGACCTCAACTGACAACCAACCGGAACCAAACTTTTTTTTTTTTTAGGCCCGAGTGGAAAACACACCAGGATGTTCATTGTGGGGTTCTAAAACAGGGGGAAAAGAAACAGGGGTTGCAATGTCCATATCTGCAGACTGTAAAAGGTCAGAGGGAGGGTCTCTAGGAATGGAGGCATGCATGTTAGAATGATGATCCCTAGCGCTAAGCAAAGGGACATGTAATGGAGTGGAAATGTCCGGAGGGGACATCAAAGAGATGGAAAAGAATAGAGATTTGAATTAATTGCCACTTTGATCAAAACATATACAGCTCCACAATCAATAATCTTACCAGCAACATGTCCATTCACCTTCATGCATAATATTCAATTTTAGAAAAAAAACAAACAAACTTTATGTTCAATGTTCATTTCAGATACAACTGTGAAAGACAGGCAATTTCTTAATGTCCATATCCCAAGTTGGTTCAATATTTCAACACCACATAGTCCAGTCTCATTGTCCCTTTAAATTTATAGTTCGGAAAAGTTCATCTATTGTCCATTTTCGAGCCCCACGTTGGGCGCCACTCTGTAACGGTAAGTTACATGGTTTAATTAAAGTTTTAAAATATCATTAAGTCTAAATCATTAAATCCATTCGTATAATTTTCACCAACAACAAAAAAAAAATATTTAAATCACACAGTGTCCATCAGTAAGTTCTCAAAAAACAAACAAACAAAAAAAAAACCCCAAATAAATAAATCAGTTCGTTACTCTGATTTACCAGCGCGGTTGCGCTCAGACTTAGAAAATTCAAAATGAGTCAAAAAACTACAACAAAAGTAATCCCAAAACAGTTCAAAATATAGTATCTAATGAAAACGAAATTTGTTCAAACACCGTTAATGGAAGTCAGTAAGGAGTAGTTGTTCTTCCGATGAAAGTGTGGGGTCGTTTGCGAATTGTAAGTTTTATTGAGACCAGTAGCCTCACCGGGAAGGCACGAGAAAGCAAGTTTTCTTTACCTCTAGGATAGGTATCTCAGGTCGTCGAAGTGAAAGAACAATACTCACAGGTCTTCAACTTCACTGTCAGAATCCTCTTTGGCTTTGGTTTCTTTCGGGCGACGTTCAGGTTTCATCTCGCTCAGTTATCCCTGTCTATTCCGTACATGCGCGTCCCTTCCCGTCTTTGCGGTGCAAAAATTCGGATCATCCACATGAACAAAAATCCAACAGGGAATCTTCATGACACGCTGAAACATCGGCCTCGATTTCCTTCAACTTTCTCAGACGCTAATCACAACTTCCCGACCGGCCTTCCTCCTTCCGTTTCTCTACTTCCCCTTTTCTTTTCCTCCCAATCACAAAACCCCACCTCTTTTTGTTACTATATTTATAGAGCATCACAGTCCCGCCCACAGCCAGAGAGAGCGCTGGTGCCGGAAGTAAATTTCACATTCATTTCTCCCATTGACATTTTGTAAAATCCATATCTAAAGAGTATTAGAGCATGTCTGAGGATAATCAGCTACGACTGAACTCATAAGCATACAACACATCATTTCGAGTGAAAAAACGAAGAGAAAATACAAAAAAAGTCGAGGGTACAACAAGCCTGTGTACATGTTTTCTTTTCCGAGCAAAGGAACTACTCCTCCCATAAACCACCGCGCCTCACTGAAGTCGTCTGAAAACCACCGTGAAAGAGCCTTTTGAGCGACTTCCAAATCTGACGACGGGCACGTGAACTTTTTCCTCCAGTGAATTTTATATAGTGAATGTACAGGGAAACCCCTTTTCCTCGAATTACTGAAGCAAACGCATTTGCAGCTCAACATGCAAAAACATTGAGTTTCTGGCTCGCTCATTAGCTAAGCTGTGGCAACTGTACATCCAATGGCGCGCGGGCGTCTCAGAAGTGCGACCAATGAACTTAGCCCTACATCATCACGCAGTCTTCAGTCTTGACGTACCTTCGCGGGGTTTCAGACACGTGACACGACTTCTACCAATCAGATGCATCACTGTTGGATTGTGGGATTGTTCAGGATTTTGGGTAATGAAGTACTTATCCAATACATCGCGAATAAAAGGGATTTATCTTAAAACAAGGTTAGTGCCCCATGAACTTTTGGCGTTTATATGAGCACATACGATCGCTTAGTACAGCCGTGGCTGGTTTTAAGTCTACCATGTATGGTTACATTTTTATGGCTTATATCTCAAATGTCAATAGAGAAATTGTATTGAATTTTTACTTCCGGCACCGGCTGTGGGCGGGACTGTGATGCTCTATTTAGGTTTTCGTTTGTACTAATTTTAATAAATATTATGAAGTTGTGTAGATTTACTTTTTGTGTCATTTAATGTGATTAAATATTTTTTGACACTGTGGCATCGCTACAATGTGCTTCTATGTATTGATTGCTATCAGGATGTGAAGAGAGTTTCAACCAGAATATCAGTGTTTATGAAAAACAATTGCCTACCTTACCTTTAAGTGATGATATAATTTAACTGTTTGGGTGAACTATACCTTCTACGAAAAATTCATTATTCAAATAACCAGATTGTAAAACAACCTAACAGCTCCCTCCAGAGGTCTACTCTTAATAAAACTAGATCTGGTCTAATAACATCATGAATACAAAGACAAAACTCTTTTTTACACAGTGTTGTGAAAGTCATTTAATCGTAGAAGATTTTTAGAAAAATCAATTCTTGATTATGAAAAGTTATAAATTCAACGTTGTTTTAGAAAGCTAAACAGCTTGAATAGACTCTCCAGAAAGAAGAAACAAAAACAATTCCAATTTTTTTGGTAGTATTTTTTTGTTTAAAAGTGAAACAATGAAAAAAAAAAATGTACTAATAGTTCACAACACAATGTCCGTCTTGAAAAGAGGAAGATCAATGAAAACTTTCTTGACTTGACGACCAAACAGCAGAAGAAACCTCCTTTCTATCCTTACAAAAACAAACAACGAAGGTAAAATACCTTTTAAAAAAATCCCACAATCTTCAAAACTGGTTTCCAAGAGTCAAGAACTCATCTAGAGAGGGTGACGGTGTTACAGGTTTTCACTTATCAATATACCACTGTACATAAAGCTGAGAGCTGGTCTGAAGTTTGCTTTTGCAATTACAAGACTGAAAATGCAGTCCAACTGTGAAATCTAACTTCATACATTAAGCGGCCCTCAATGACAGGACTGTCTCAGGCCCACAAGCAGTTCATTTGGGAAGGGGTACAGATGCACAGGTTCCAGATGAAGCAGGGTCAGTAGGTGGAGGGGGTCCGATCAGAAGCGGCGGGCTGGATCACCGGTTCATGGGCCTCAGGAGCTCTGTGGCTGTGGCAGCGTCTGGAAACAGGTTATGGTATGTAGGGAGGGGCACATAGGCAGCTGTGATCATTTTACCTGTAAAAAGGAAAGAGATCGCGATTAAGGTCACACACAGCCCATGTAAGCAGTCCTATAAATAAAATAACTTGGTAGATGGGAGAAAATGGGACAGGCTTACCAGCAAACCACCGGCCGTGCAGAGCGCTGACAACAGACATTGCGACTGGGATGGTTGGACATTTTACATAAACATTTCCCTGCAAAAGCAAAAATGAGGATTTGTCATATTGGGGGGAATAAAAAAATGGCTTTGATAATCTTAAATGCTGGTTCGCTATCTTTGTGGGGACTCAATACAGATGTAATGGTTTTTATCTTGTCCAAACTGTCCCCTTACACTTACCCATCACACTCACTCAGAAGAAACTAGTACATTTTAAACCATCCAGAGTTTAAATGTTGTACTTAAAACAACATATTTGTATGTTGTACCTCTTCAGGGTCAAAATGAACCTGGATGTATTAAGAGGGTTAAAGGTGGAAAGAGATCCGACTAACTTTTTAAAAAGCCTGCAATTTTAACAGCGGTGTGTAGACAGTGTAGCCACTGTATACAGGTGATCACTTACTTCAGCAGAGTTCTTGTCGACGTATATGTGAACAACTCCTCCATGTTTTTTGCACTCTTCGATGACATCATCCTGTATCTCCATGTCCCAGCCAGGTTCGTTTTCCCTACAAAGCAACACATCAAGAATTTTATTTAAACAGGACTTATATTATTTGAGATCACATACACAAAGGAAAAGGAAGGAACGTTTTTAAGAATTAGTGCAACTCACATCTGTGGACTGAACATGTTGGAGAGCTGTAAACAATGTGTGGCCAGAGGCTGGGTTGGAAGGTTCATAGCTTGGTTCATCCCATGATTGGGAAGAAGAGGAGGTGCGGATGAGGCTGTAAGTGGCACAAAAACACAAATAACAGTCACTATCACAGTTAAGCATCATATTGTAGGTGCATATAGTGCTTATGATAAGTGAACACACCCATGCTGAAGTTAAAGAGCACCTATCATGGATTTTTGAAAATGACTGTTCATGTAGTATGGAATATAGCTCTAAGGGAATGAAAACATCCTGCAAAGATTTATATCTGAAAGTGCACCGTATTTAAAGTTATTGTCTTTCAAAAGTGAGAGTCGACTCTTGAGTCTATGAAATGAATTGTTTTTGAAACGAGTCATTAGCTGTTACATCGTGACGTAGAGAGGTCATTGGCCGCTCCCAACAACTGTGCGCGCAGACTTGAGGTGACGTCTAGAACACATTCAAATACTTTAGCTGAATCGCATCATGTCGAGAAGACGCTGTGTTCTACATTGCAATAATGACGAATCATTCAAAATTCAAAAACCTAAATGAATTCAAATGTGGATTCGCAAGCTGGTTGTACCTGAAGGAGGGCTCAGTATCCAGTGTATATGGATTAGGGCTGAACGATTAATTGCATTTGCGATAAAATCGCGATATGATGAAACGCGATTTTGTAATCGCAAGAGCTGCGATTATACTGGTCACGTGACACGCGAGAGAAAAGCAGTCTGCAAGATAAAGCATCAACTTGCCACGCTACGCGGTCTGGCGTTCAGAAAAGAACAGTTTATTGTGTTATTTATTCTCTCCTCTCCTCAACAATCCTGGATCGATTCAGAGAATTTCAGAATCGAGTCTGAGCTTAGTTTTTAAACACAGATGCGTGATGACGCTGCACGTGCTTTAGAAACGAACCGCGTTCTGAATCTGCTTGCTTCTATTTTCTCGCTCTCTCTCTTCCTCACACACACACACACGACACCGCTCGAACCTTCCAAAACATAGTAACGTTATTTCATAAAGTTCGGGATTGAACCGAATTACAAGGACATTCGCGGGCTTCATTGAACAGGTTTTGCCGCTTTGCTTGATGTTATAACGTTACTCTTGCAGTGCGCGTTCTCTCCCGCGGGAATTTTCTTTACAAATGCTTCAGTTCACAGAGGCATTATTTATGTCTTTTGGAATGCAGTTGGCTTATATTAAAACCATGAAAATCACTGAGAAGGCTGCTTTCATTTTAAAATACTAACGCGTGCTTTGTGAAGAGCGCTCGTGCATGCGGCCGTGAGCGACTCATTGGTAAATGTACTTGCATGTCAAAATGCTTTTATGACGCGAAATTAATGTAAACACGGTCAGTTATATCTTAAACCAACAGGACAAACCACATTTACAATTTCAAAAGAGATATGTGCATTAGTGTGAATGCAGCTTATCGTATCTAAACTGAGGGGAAATCACTCCAGCTCTTGAATGAAAAACATTCAGACAGCCTACTTTTAAATACTGAGACCACTCTTTCTTTATTGCTTGTAATGTTTTTTTTTTGTTTCTCTTTATTTACTAGCTTTTATATTTTGAAGCAATATTATTTTATATAGCCTATTTAAAATTCCTAACATGTAATTGCTTTAATTAAATGTTTTTTTTTATATTTATTTTTTAAAGTATGTGTTTTTACACATGCAATTAAATACATATTTTAAGACTTATTAAGATTAATTAATAAGAAAAAAAGTAGATCGAATCATGAGCTATCTAAAGATTCCCATCCATACTATACAATTATTTATTGCTTGTCTTTGTCGACTAATACAGAAGGTAAATAACTTTTTTTTTAATCGCATATTAAATCGCAATCGCAATATTGGCTAAAAAAAAAAATCGCAATTAGATTATTTTCCAAAATCGTTCAGCCCTAATATGGATCAGGTTCGTCCTCCTCCGAATCACAATCTTTCAGTATTATTAATAATGTTTACTGTTGTGTTTTCTGTAGCATGCACAATATAGTTATATTCTGTTGTGTGTGTTGTGTACACTCCGCGCAGCTTCTAAGCGGGGTAAAGTTAGTTTTGTTTTCATTGAAAAATGGCAATTACCTCCTAAACGACTTAGCCAAATATGACTTCGCTCTATATAAGCACTGTCCCTCAAAAGCCCCTGCAATGTGAGTTTCGCCGAAAAAGCGCGCTCTTGACGGAGACGCGAGTAAGGGACCGTGTGGAAAGTGCACTTTTTCTGACACGTTTATTCAAACACTATATACAATTTTCAACACTTGACACGCTATAATCCTGGTGATGGGCGTTCAGTTGCCGACAGTCTCTGCCTACGGTTTACCAAAAACAACTGACTGGGTCATTTGACCAATCGCCGCAGATTCGCGTCACTCAAAGGAAGTGTTTGGGAAAATGAATCGTCGAACGAATCATTTGGGAGTCGTTGAGCAAATCAGTTAAAAATAAATGCATATTATAAGACAAATAAAGTGTTTTTTATCCTTGCATGCACGTTAAACTGTTTTTGGGAACTCCTAAAACAAAAATAGGAACATTTCAAATTCTATGATAGGGGTTCTTTAAAAAAAAAGAAAATCTTTTGGAAATTGATCTGAAAGGGTTAGTCACCCAAAAATGAAAATTATGTCATTAATGACACCCTCATGTCGCTCCAAGCCCTCAAAACCTCCGTTCATCTACAGAACACATTTTAGATTTAGTCCGAGAGCTTTCTGTCCCACTGCTGAAAATGTATGTACGATATACTGTCCATGTCCAGAAAGGAAATAAAGACATCAAAGTAGTCCATGTGACACCAGTGGATTAGTTGGAATGTTTTGAAGCATCGACAATACATTTTGGTCCAAAAATAACAAAAACTACAACTCGATTCAGCATTGTATTGTCTTCTGGTTATGTTGTCAATCCGGTTCAGTGACGCTGCTGACGTGTTATCATTGCGCCCGAGCTTTGTTTACAGCTTGAGGGAGACGCACGCTGTAAACAAAAACTTCGCAAACATGTCTAAGGATTTCGACACAGAGGAAGACTTGCATTTTTTCGCACAGCCATATTTATTTAAACCCGAATATACGGACTCATCAGATACACGTCAGCAGCGTCCACGTTCATCGTGAACGTGGATTGACAACAGATTACAGATATCTGCAACACAGCTGTTAAATGTTAAGATGGCTTGCCATAAGTACTTTCCATAAGATCATCTCTCAATGCAAATCAAACCAGCTATTAGGCTAACTGAAATAAAACCATGCCAATCTCTAGGTATGGTGAAGGGTATGTGATGATGTGGGGTTATTTTACTTATGCCCCCTGTATTTTATTTATTAACGATACATCATTCACTATGAAAATTGGTGTCCTTAAAGGAACACTCCGACTTTTTGGGACTTTAGCCTATTCACCTTACCCCCCAGAGTTAGATAAGTCCATACATACCTTTTTCATCTCCGTGCGTGCTATAAGTCTGTTTGACGCACCCACCGCTAGCCTAGCTTAACACAAAGACTGGATGTGAATGGTTGCAGCTTTCATACTGATCCAAATGAGTGGCAAAATAACGCAAACGTTTTCCTATTTACATGTTGTGATTTGTATAGTCACATAATGTACAAATAACAAAGTCAAATGAGACACAGACATCTTTTAACCGTATAAAACCTGGGAACTATTCTCTGAAGGCGAGGCACTGCTACTTTGACACCTGAGACACGCCGTGGTGAGGAGCGGAGAGTTCGCTCAATGTTTGGGTAACAGAGTCAGCAATTTATAAATAGTAAAAGCGTAGTTTAGAGTCATGGGTTTTCGCTCTATTGTAAATAGCTGCGACTGTAAACAGGGGAGGTAACCATGTTTCACAGAATTCCAACTAAAAACGCTGACTGGATGAAGAAATGGCTAACTTACTCTGGATATTTATCCAAACACACCTAAATAGATTATCAAGGGACATTATGTTTGCTCGGTACATTTTAATGAGGACGACTATTTTGAAAAAATTGAATTTGCCACACGGACCATAATGTGCTGAAGGATACGGCCATCCCATCGATAGCACAGACAGGACAAGTGGATCACCTGCGGCTGAGGTAAGTGTTCCGTTATGTTTTTAGATGACCTACTGTAACAGTGCCATTAGCCAGAGCTAATCTAACGTTAGTGACACTATTATATGATTAGGGTATGAATATGTTTTTATCTTGATGCGGTGCACACGCCTGGGAAAAAAAACGAGCGCGTTCACCGCGTTGAACTTGCACCCTGCGCGCGGCGCGCCTAGTAGCCTAAATTTGAAATAACCATGGAAATAACGAACTTGAGCGTGCAAAAGGGTACGATAGGCTGTGAGTTCATTGTGCAAAAACAATTTGTGCTATTACTTTCCCCTTATTCTATCCTATAGTAATGCAATACTGTATATTATATACTGTTGAATACATTTGGTTCAGCTAATAAATTGCATTTAAAATATATTGATTCCTGTAATAATAATTATTTATTCATGTGATATTTATAAATCTAGGTGCGTTTTTGGTTGGAAATCAATGAAACATGGTACTGTATTACCTGGTCTCCCCTGTTTATTGTCACAGCTCATACAATAAAGCAAACACCCATGATAAACTATGCTTTTCTATCTAACGTTAGTAATTGCTGACTCTTTACTCCAACACTGAGCGAACTCTCTGCTCCTCGTCACGGTGCGTCTCAGGTGATAGTTATCACTCTGCCCAAGTAGCAGTGCTTCGCCTTCAGAAAATATAGTATTTATATGGTCAAAAGATGTCTGTGTCTCATATGGCCTTGATATTTGCACACTCTGTGACTATACAAACCACAACATGTAAATAGGAAAACGTTTGCGTTATTTTGTCACTCATTTGGATTAGTATGAAAGCTGCAACCATTCACATCCAGTCTTTGTGCTAAGCTAGGCTAGCAGTGGGTGCGTCAAACAGACTTATAGCACGCACGGAGATGAAAAAGGTATGTATAGACTTATTTAACTCTGGGGGGTAAGGTGAATAGGCTAAAGTCCCAAAAAGTCGGAGTGTTCCTTTAAAGGTTGGATTTTTCCTCATTTTTTTAATTAAGGCATTAAGATCAAGTTTTGTGGTGTGTTCACTTATGCTAAACACTGTATATTATGCAAATCGTGAAATAGTGCTCTTGAAATAACCGTCACTCTCACAAAATTTGACTTAAGCCTTCTGAAGAACAAATAATTGGTGGGAACCGGACAGCAGGTCAACAAGGTCTGTTTGGATTTGTCAAATCTCCTCCAGAGGCAAATTCTCAAGACCTCAGTGAACTTCAATTAATCACATCAAACACATAGGATCATAGGATATGTGACTCAGATCAGATCTTTTTTATTATTTTTTTAACAGTGTGAACAGCACAAAGCACATGGAATCTGATCTTTTGGATTCTGATTTGGGCCACTTCCAAATGTGGTCCTGAATCAGATACAGGTCTGATGTTTTGCAATGTGACTTCTGTCATACCTAGGAGTGTAACACTCGCATCACAATTCAATATAACTCGCGATACTGATCTAATAATACTATACTATCATGATATTGTAAGCCAAAAAAGAGAAATGTTTTTATTATTGTAAAAAATATTTCTTCATTATGCACTATACATATAACACTAAACCATCTACAACACTTGGAATAATCATATTACTAAGACTAAATTTAATATGGCGATTTAAAGGGGTCCTATAGACCATTGCACAAGATGTAAACAACACTGGTCCAGAAGCACTTCCTGTTTCAGTTTGTAACTGTTTTCTTTATTTCACATGTAAAGAAAACATCTTAAAGATGTTTGTTTAACTTTTTGATTCAGTTTTAAATGTTCTGTTGGTTGCATTTTATCCCAGCTTTTATGTAGTGTTAAAAAACTGAAACAGGAAGTGCTTCTGGACCTTAATTTTGTTTTTGGGTAATCTATAATATGTTTTCATGCTTGATTGTTCAAAAAAACATTTTCTTTTCCACATAATTACAGCTATTCTCTCCCCAGTCTGTCTCTTTTTGATGAATCCCCTCCTTCCTAAATATAAAATGTGCTGTGATTGGTAGGGCTGGGCAAAAAAATCGATTTTTCGATTAATCGTTTTTTAAAATGTGTTCGATTCAAAATCGATTCTCAACGGCCGGAATCGATTTTTTCCATATAAAGGGCTCGCGGACGCGGTGCTGCATCTTCTCGTCTCTCTGCACTAGGCAAGCGCTGCAGCTGTCGATACACACACGCATTTAGGAGTCGGGACATGACGGAATATTCACTTAACAATCGGGCCAGCATTGCATCGTAACCTTTGATCGTAACTAACGTTTATCATTTTCACGTCTTTTTGAGTTTTACAAGCAATGTTAAACCATCCCGTGCTCGCGCACTCTCAGAGATGTCTTTCACTGCGTGCACAGTAACGTTACAGCCTAAATCTGCCTCACAAACAGCTCGCCAGAAACAAAAGTTTTATCCCTGGATTATATCACTTTAACAGTTAAAACACGCGACATTATGTCAAAACTCTGGTCTTGGTGAGTAACCTCCTAAAGACAGTCGGTAATGTCTTAAATTAGCATTAAACGCGTGTGGCAGAAAGTTAATGAAACAGTAATGGATTCGCGCACTAGTTCTTAAAGTGAACGCAGCCATTTGTGTCAGTCATTAATTCTGTTGTCATAACAACAGAATATAGTATTAATTGTAATCAATCAGAATAATAGCCTTTGTATGGACTAAAAAGACTATCCAGTGTTATTTTACATTGGATTACTTTATTCAGTTTCTGTAGTATTTCTGACATACCCAAAAAACTACCCCAAAATGTCTCTTAATTTGTGTCTTTATTCTATTGTATTTATTTGTGCTACTTTTTTCAATTTAATTCAAAGATTGAAATCAAGCTTCCATACATAAACTCTTAAAACAAAAATAAACAAAAAATTACATTACCATTTAGGTAAGATCAATGTAAAAAAAAAAGTCTAAATATTTATATATTTATTTATCTATATCTATCTTAAACATAAAATAACATGATACTGTTTGATCAAGCTGTGCGACTGTTCTGACTTTTTTTGCATATTGCATCAAAATTCTGTTTATTCTCTGTATGCATTTAGTGTACCTAAAATAAAAAGAGTTTTATATACAGGTTTATGGCTCTTAATTTCCTTGTATTAATTAACCACTAGTAAACTTATTTCCACTGTTCTTTTTTATAAATATAGGATTTGTATTACATCTTCATTATAGTCGAATCGAGAATCAAATCAGGAATCGAAATCGAAAATTGAATCGAGAATCGAAATCGAATCGAACTGAGAGCTTGTGAATCGAAATCGAATCGAAATTGAAATGTGAATCGATACCCAGCCATAGTGATTGGTTAGCTGGCCCAGTGTGTTGTGATTGGCACCGCATAGAGCGTTCCTTTATCCGCCACTTACTGCAACAAGCTCTACTCAGACGTAAATATTATTAACGATGGAGTCAATTTCAAACCAATAGGCTTTATGTCGAGCGTCACATGACCAAACCGGAAAACAGGTTTTATCGCATCCGCTTGACAGAGAAAGTGTTAACGGCCGTAAGAACAGACTACGATATCTATGGATTATAATTGAACGCGAAAATGCTGACTTCACTAACCTCAGTGTTTATTTCTGTATGACTGCGTGCTACATGCTGTCATTGTTGTTGTTGTTACTTTTGCTCATGTAGGTCAGATTAGGACTACGACCTGTTCACACTCAGAACTGTTTCACTGTATTTACAAAATTTGAACTGTCTAACAAAACAAATCTGATCTGAGCAATAAATCAGAATTGGCCACAAAAGGCTGATTTATACTTCTGCGTCAGACCTACGCCAGAGCCTCTACGCTATAGACTACGCGTTGGTTTTCATTTATACTTCTGCGTCGTTGTACGCGTTGATGTGCAATTACACTTGCAGAGGGAGCATGTGAAACCCAGGGAGCAGTTCTAGATGACCAATCACAGCGCTTGTGGTACGCGTAAACTGACACATTGTTACATTTTTGGAGAGGTGCACGTCATGGTACGCACGCTACACACAGCCTACGACGTAGCTACGGCACGAGTTCAAAGCAGAAGTATAAATTGGGCTTAAAGGAGAAATCACGTCAATTTTTAAATTGAGCTCACAGTACAGCGAACAAGGACAAAACAATGACCTTCTCCTTTAAGGCTTGCAGTGTGAACGTATGCAATATTTTAAGTCACAAAGCCTCATTATGGGATTTTAGAATCTGTCCTGTCTTTTATGAATGAGATATAAGTTCAATGAGGTTGATAAAGATCTGTGTATCTGTTTTCATTGATGAAGGTTTATATTAAAATGAAAGATGCAATTTGACATGGTCACTCACTGGCATGTGTCATATAGACTAGATTTTGCTTGTGTACATCAAGACAATTAGATCAAGATACAAAGCCCGTTCAATGGATTCTAAGATAGTAATATGAAAATGACTCAAATACACACCATTTGCCAGATTTCCAAATGTCACAGAGCCACTCATCTGTAAGGCATGCTTGGCAGCGGCAGGAATCTGCAGTCCTGTGCCTAAAAACATCCCAGACACATTTCAATGAGTTCACAACAATGCAATATCACTTGGAATATTAAATGCAAAGAAGGTTGAAATGGTCATTGGCACATCTGAGAGACAGTAACACGTAGGGATCAATCTGTACCTTCTGCGAGTCTTGCCATCAGCTGAAGACGACCCGTCGTGCCCAAGTCAATGCCAGTTCTCTCCAGTTCATCATTGTCCAAGAAAGAGCTGGCTGAGGACGCATCCGAACGCTCTGTAACATGACCCACCTTCATTGGCCGCCCCGCAAGCTCAAAACCATTTAGCTGCTCCAGGGCTTTTTTTGCACATTCTGCATCTGCAAACTACACAAAAAGACAACCAATCAGCATGGGAATGGTGAAATAGAACTGTCCTTCTCTTTTTGAAATGAAAGTCACAACATTTATAAAATTTATACATTAAAAAAAAAAAAAGCTACAGGAATTGGTCATGTAGAAATGGCCTCACAATTAGGGATAAACAATTAATAATAAATCCAAAACCTTAATTTTATGGTGCAATTGTTAAATCGCAAAGGTTGGGATTTAATTAAACAAATATATGTGCTACATATGCAAATGCACTGTAATGAGAAGTACTTATAAACAGGATGTAATCAACAAAAAGAAAAGATTTAAGGACCACCTGTAGTTTTGCAGGCAAAATAAAAGCTTGAACAATTATAGTTATAAAATAAGGAAATGATAACAGTATTGAAGACACAGTAGTGCAATTTACTGTAAAATAAAATCATTTAAAGTTTACAATAGTAATATTTCTTATTTTGTTTAATAATAATGGTCATATAAATATATTAACAGAGATTTTTGGCCAAATTGTGCAGCTCACAAACAAGCACAGCATACCTGGAGATTATTTTTTTGAAAACCACTGCAATCATAATTTTATTTAGAGAAATGAGATAAACTGCAATTATATTCTTTCCCCAAATCATGCAGACCTAATCACAACCACGAAGGACCAATAGGGAAGGACCATAATTTTTAACTACTCATCCACTGACTGATTAATAAGTTAGATTTAAAAAATGTAGCATATGGCCCCTTTATCATTAGTAATTTGCATTTTGATGAACTCACTGATATGAAGCCGTATCCTTTCGATCTGCCTGTCTCACTGTCCATCATTAGCTGGATGCCTTCAATCTGAAATGAGACAAATAATTAAGCAATTTCCTTACTGTTAGTTTTATCCTAGTTTAACTTCTTATGCATGCAAAACCATTTCTAATGCCCACCACACCTTTCCGAATGGCTCAAAGATGCCCCTCAGCATATCCTCAGTAATATTGAAGTGCAGGGAGCCCACGTACAGCCGCATGGGCCCTGCACCACCTCTCTGGAGCATGCTGGCCATGGCTGCGGCCCTGTTCTTCTCAGCCTGAAATATGCAAGCAATTCAACAAAATGATTAACATGCAGTGTATGAGTAATCAGACTGTGGATTTGCATTGTGTTGATGCTCTGACCTGCGAAGCCTGGACTATGATAGGCACTCCCAGAACTCTCTGGCCCGTCAGGCCGATTGCCAGCGGTACTGATGTGGCCTCCACAAACTCAATATAGGCAATACCCTTTGACCTCCGAGAGTTTCTATCCGAGATCATCCTTACGTCACGGACCTTAAAAGATTGATATAAAAGCTGTCAGGTGTTGTATCGGTCATATTATATCGGTAAATGGGGAGAAAAATTAACCAAAAATAAAAAAATGTGCTTTAATCTGTGGCATCATACTTTTCCCACTGCAGAGAAGAATTCTTCCAGATCTCTGGGTCTAATTCTGGCAGCGAGCTGCATGCAGAACACTGTACGGGCGTCTCTCTCCTCTGGGCTCAGATTATCTATTGGTTGCCTGTTTAAAGAAACACACAGGTCATCAACCACTGAAACGCAAGTCATTCCCTCTGGAAACTAGGTTTGAATTCATATCTCTTGGCCACAAAACACCGCATAGACATAAAAATCATGTTCTGAGTTGTGCATAATCCAACACAGTAAATCTTATTTTTTGTAATGTCTCTCAACCATCTTTCTTTCTACAGTCTTTCTTCAAATCTCCCTTTTGTTCACTCGCTCTCCTCCACCATCATGAGTGGACACAATCCACTCACATTGCTGATTGGCTACATGTGTGTTGTGGTGCAGAAATGGCTTACTGCACCTTTAATAAATATTATTATATTATACTCTTTTCATGTCAGGACAAATGGACCTTAAAATTCTCTATTAAATACATTGTTTATTTGTGTACTCTTAGGCAATTGTGAACAACATTAATGAATTTAACCAATGACACATTTATGTAGATCTATATAGCCCTTAATTTTGAAATCAGCTCATATTGTATAAAATCAAATCAGATTTTATAGTAAATACGATATAAAACTCAGATCAACTGCTTGTGAGTGAATCAAGTTAACATAATACAACAATGTAATTATTTTTCTGTCTATGATTTTTCTGAACATTTTCATGTCAGGCCAAATGGCCTGTAATACATTATTTTATTTAAGAGACATTTTATTTTTTATTGATTTGCCTATTTTGAACAACATTAATACATTTAAATAGGGATGCACCGATACCACTTTTTTGGAAAACGAGTACGAGTACGAGTACTTGCATTTCAGTACTCGCCGATACCGATACCGAGTACTTAATAAAAAAACAAAAAAAAACATGATTTAAATATTTTTATATACGGGTTTTTAGGTCCTTGATTAAATTACTTGGGTAACACTTTATTTCGATAGTCCACTTTACTAACTATAAGTAACTTTTCAATTACATGTCAACTAACTGTCATTAGAGTATTAGTAGACTAGAGTATTAGTACGATCAGCTTAATATCTGATAACACTTTATTTATTTGGTCCCCCAACAGACATTCAACTGACTATAAGTAACTTGGCGACTACAAGTAAACTTATTCTCCTAATCCAAAGCCATTCACTTTGAAATTGTTCCACACCAGTGATGCACGGGTTGATCCAAACTGAGCGGGTGCCTGCGCCGCGGTCACCCGCGGTTACCCGCAGTTACGGGTCATCCAAAAATATTTTTAATGATATTCGGGTCGCGGTCGGTCAGGTCGTTTGGAAAAAAATGCCAATTAAACCTTTGTATTTATATAGTACTAGATAGAATTTTCTATGAAATATATAGGCCGAATTTATTTATTGGCTGAATAACTGGGACGAGATGACACACAAGCTCAGTCTAAACAGTTCTCAGTTCTGTACTGGTGTGATCCGAGAACCGCTGTACCTCTGCGTTCATTACTATACGCGGATGCGCAGTATCAGCAGTATCAACAACATGTCTCAGTTCAGTGAACTGTTAGAGTTACTGGAGTAAAATATAATTCGGGATATTGGTTTATTTCAACTCGGAGGGACTGTCAGGCATGTCTGAAAGTGAGTAACTGTAGTAACTTGTGGATCAGCACTGACGCAAGACGTGAACTGATGCGAATGATTCAGTTCGATTTAGCGTACTGGTTCGACCGGTTCATTAAAAAGAACCGATTCGTTCACGAACCGGCCATGTCTATGATCACTAGTCTGCAGAGAGATGGAGGCGGCAAGAGAAAAGGTGAAGACTGGGGAGTGGAAGCTCCGCAAATACACAAATAGAAAGAGTAAGTGTGGGAGACATTTACTGAAATAATGAAAGATGATGACCAAAGTGCTGCCTTTGTTATATGTAGGCTACGTCTTCTTGCGATGCTGTGTTGTTACACGTTTATGGCCCAATGACGCTACGATGAGCATGTACTACTTTTAAAAAATACGGTCAGGAAGAGGGTCGGGTACAATATTTTCTTACTTTTTTTTGCGGTCCGAGTAGCGGGCGGGTAGTTGAAAACGTTGGTAGTGTGCGGGTTGTTTATACATTGACCCGCGCATCACTGTTCCACACGGCTGACATGTCTCCCCATCTCCCCGCTCTGAGCTGCAGCCGGAGCCTGGGGGTGGGCACTCACTCAGCGCCTGTGATTAACCCATTTCTCAGAACATGGTATCGGTCCCCGGTATCGGGGGACTTTTAACGAGTACGAGTACTTTAGAAAATGTGGTATCGAGGCCGATACCAGATACCGGTATCGGTATCGGTGCATCCCTACATTTAAACAATGAAACAATCTAGAGCTTATAGCAAGATTACAAAGAGCTGTTGACTTGACGTACAGTATTACTGTGAGAAAGAAGGTGAAAAAATAACCTTTTAAAGTTGAACGTCATCTCTGTCGGGAGGCTTCCTAAACCTCAGAGATTGTACACACTGTAAAGCCCGCAACGATGAAAGTCACGATTTTACCATATCAATCTGAGCTCAAGTCCGATGATGAAACATTGGAACATGAAACATTGGAATTCAACCCGAACCTCCACCACAAGGAGGATTTGAGCTGGACGTTCCCCAGTGATACACTACTCAGTTTGACGTACATTTTGAGATGTTGCAACTTTAATTCCTCACCATCAGCATTAACAAGTGTATGTCAATCTAATAGTAATCAATGCGCATATTTGTAATTTATTGCAGTGCACATGCGGGATCAATAACGGTGTATGCACTGAATGACTTATTTAACAACATTTGTAAAACAAATCTTGCTCTATCCTTTATCGTTACTCAAAGTAGTAAGAATGACAGAGAATCTGCATTAATAGACACACTTTTAGGTAATAGTGGCTCACAGCTGATTAGCAGAAGTATTTCAGTAACACCGTAATAAATATTAACTGGTTAGCCATAAATTTACACAAAATACAACACAAAACTAAGTATTTTGAACACCCAATAGAAAATATATACATCAATAATTATTCATACTTACAAGTTGTGATTCTGAGGGGCAAGTTAGTCCAAATAAATTGGGTACAGACCCATCTTTTTTGAGAATCCCACGTTGAACTCCGAGATTTGAGAAGCAGTCTTCAGTGAAATGACATTTGAGGGCGGGTCAAGTTGTTTGCGGGCATACAACATTGGCGGGCATTAATGCAAATGTATCTTCTAGTGACAGAACCGTAAAGCAGTAGGATTCTAATGAAAAACGACTCAAAGGCGATTCAGAGTAAATTCTTTCTTTTGGGAGACAATAACTTTGTTTATCCTGCACTTTCGACTTTACAACTTTGCAGAACATTTACATTCACAAACAGCTATATTAGACACTGCATGAAATGGAATATTTAAAAAAACCATAATAGGGACACTTTAAAAATAACTGTATCTACCAGTTCAGTTCTTTTCATTTTAAGTACACCAAGATGGCTGATTATGCTCTGCCTTATCTAGCGTAATTTAAAATAGCATAGCAATGGAATAACTAGTGGAAAGACTTCAATACTACATCAGACAGTGATGAGTGTCTCACCTGACAGGGCTTTTGTCCTTCTTAAAAGGGCTTCTGTCCTTCTTAAACGGGCTTCTGTCCTTCTTAAATGGGCTTCTGTCCTTCTTAAACGGGCTCCTGCGACTAGAATCAGAATACTCCATCAGTGTGTGTTTATTACCCATCTGTGTATCATTACTCAAGACAAACACTAACATTCAGCACACAACAGGCAACCAGAGTCACAGATGAGATCACCTGTGTTTGGTGAAATGTTGTGGGCCGGTCTTCCCTCCGGGACCACCATTTAATTTCGGCCCCATACTATGACATATAAAACAAGGGTTTGTCTCAGTGTTAAACTAGTCAACTTTCAGCCACTGTGACCATGCGAGGGTTACTACATATACTGGTGCAAGGGGGCAAGTATACATTGTAAAGCAAATGCTGTTTTAGCCAAGGAAAAACTATTGGTTAGAGGTAAAGTCATTTCACAGAAGATTTTCTTTATAATGATAACCCAAATCAGACCTAACATGAGCTGTAAGGTTGATTTGTGATTATATTGGTTTTAGTAGAAGACAAAGTGTGAGCAGAGAGACAAGTTTAATATTCTTTAAAAAATAATATTAAATAGCTAAATTCAAGGGGGAGAACTACACTATCCATAATCCTGAAAGGAGATCCTCCTTAAATCCACCAATCAGAGATGACATTGCTGTTACCATGTAAACAAGAACCATGCCATAAGACCAGAGCGATCAGTAAAATTATATCATATTTTCAATATTTTATATATGTATTTGTCAATATTATCATATTACCCCCCTATACTTTAGAAGATATATGTTAAGAAAAATAGTTAAGGAACCCTGTTCACCGAAGAAGTGGTCAATTACGGGTTGCTCTTTAAAAGTGTCATGAAATCCCTGTTTTTTTAGTCTAGTTGTTCACACCTTTGAGTTGAAAAAGTCTAAAAAAATGGGTGTGTAAAGCTGTGAAAAAGTGGGACACAACCATCAATAAAACAACTCCATACACTTATTATAAAACACACAAAATATGACCGCAGAGAAAAAAAACAACAAACTATAATAAAACAGTTGAGGGCACCTTGATGCATTTAAAAAAAAAGTAACCCTATGACAACAAGCTCCCAAGAATGAGGAAGAAATGCGAAAGAACATTTAAAAGATCAAATAATATTTTTGTTACATTTACGAGCACTACTGTCTCTGAACAAACAAGACGCGTCAGTTTAACACCGAAAACATAAAGGGATAGTTACTATTTTTGTCCATTATTCTTTGAAAGAGAATGGACATCATTTTCTTCTGTGTATCAGAGAGATGCACCGATTGATCGACTGGTGATCGGAATCGGACGATTTTCACGTGATCGGCCATGATCGGCGATTGGCCGGTCAGTCTGGCATATGTCAATTTTATGCCGGTCAAATGCACTCGGGCGCCGCATGATTAACGTTGCGCATCAGTATCACTAGTGAA